GAAAAAAAAAAAAGAACACATGGACACAGGGAGGGTAACATCACCAGGGCCTGTCAGGGGGTGGAGGTCTAGGGGAGGGATAGCATTAGGAGAAATACCTAACGTAGATGACAGGTTGATGGGTGCAACAAACCCTCATGTAAGTGTATACCCATGTAACAAACCTACACATTCTGCACATGTATCCCAGAACTTAAAGTACAATTTTAAAAAATAAAGTAAAGCAGAATCTTTAATTGGCTTTAATTTTTAAAACTCACCAAGTAATTCCAATATGCATTCAAGTTTAAGAACCAGCACCTCAGATGATTATAAAGCTTAAGAAACTGAATAAATGTGAAAGTGCTATGCAAACTGAAATTCTACATTATCATTCTTATTTTCCCATTCACTCAAGATTTCAGTATGTTCAACAATGTGATTGTTCAACATTGCTTATTATTCATTCCTTTCGTATGACTTCATTTCCTTCTTTCTAAAGTACAACATATGGGTTCTGTAAGTTATACAACATAACTGGAAAACTCAATTTATGTGTGCAAAATAATTTCAAGCTTATTCTTGAATGATAGCTTGACTAGATGGAGAACTCTGGGTTAACGGGACAGTCATGAGCCTCTTAATGCTTTGGCCAAAAACATACTGGGCATCTGACAGAGCAACAGGCTACACTAAACAGCCTAGGCACACAGTAGGCTGTACCATCTAGGTTTCTGTAAGCACAATGCACGATGTTCACACAATGACAAAACTGCCTCATACACGTATCACAGAACGTATCCCCATCTTTGAGTAACACATGACTGTATCTTCTCTGAGCATTTCACTAAATGCTGGCCTCAACTGTTGTGTTATTGAGGAAGTGGCTGTCAACCTGCTAATCCTCAGTAGGTAATCTGTTCCTCGAGGTTGCATTTAGGAGCTTGTCTTTGCTTTGTGTCCAGTAGTTTCACAACGACATGTACAAGTGGAAGAAGGGGAACTGGAATTCTGAGGGGATAGTTCTTTACTCTGAGAATATAGGTCTTTCATCAACTCTGAAAAATCTCAGCTATTATTTCTTTAAATATTGCTTATTCTACATTCTCTCTAGTCTCTCTTGGTGAGTTCACATATATGTACATGTACGTGTGTGTGTGTGTGTGTGTGTACATACACACAAACATACTGAACCGTCTCATTCTACCCTCCAAATGTTAATCTTTTTTTTTCATATTTCCCTCTTTAATCTTTCTGTGCCACATTCTGAGCAATCTCCTCAGTATAGTGTAGTCTGATTTGAATGGGCACTCTAGTCCAATTGCATGGGTTGGAATTCTGATTTCATCATTTATTAGCTGTGTGACTTTGGAGAAGGTTACTTAACCTCTCTGTGATTCAGTTTCTTCATCTGTAAAATAAAGAAAATAATAGTGCTATCCTCAAAGGATTCCTGTGAGAATTAAATGATATATGTTAAGTGTTTACCACAGTGCCTGGTACTTGATGAGTAAATAATCTCTTTTTTGTTTTACTGGTTGTTTTGTTTAACCAGTCCACTGTGTGTGTTATTTAACTTAGCAATGTTCTAAACAAAATTTAATTTCGGTTTACAAACTAGAATAGATTTTCTATAGCTTCCAGGTTTTTACTTTAAAAAAAAGTTTTATAATACTTTTAGACTTACAGCAGAGCTGCAAAGCTAGTACCGCGTTCCTATATGCCCTTCACCACTTTCTGCTATTGTTAACCTTTTACATAACCATGCTATAATAAGGAAATAGACTAAAATATCAACATTGGTACAATACTATTAAGTAAACTACAGACTTATTCAATTTCTCCAGTTTTTCCACGAATGTCCTTTTTCTGTGCCAGGATCTAGTACAGGACAGTCTGTTGCATTCAGTCTTCATGTCATCTTAATTTCCTCTAATCTGTGACAGTTTCTTAGTTTCTTCTCCTTGACAGTTTTGAAGAGTGCTGGTCAGGTATTTTGCTGCATATTCCTTAAGTGGGTTTGTCTGATGTTTTCTCATTCTAGACTGAAGTTACAGATTTGGAGGAAGAATACCTCACTGGTTATGTGCTCATCTTGTTGCACTGTATCGAGAGGTGCATCAGTCTTATCAATGTCTTATTAATAGTGATGTTAACCTTGGTCATTTGGTAAAGGAGGTGCATTAAAAGTCGCTATTTTTCCTTTTCATACTCTACTCACCAGAAGTGAGTCAGTAAGTCTAGCTCACACTCATAAAAAGTTTCAAACATTAATTACTGTATTTTTCATTTCTGGCATTGCTATTTAGTTCTTTTGTCATAGTCACAGTCTTTTCTTGTGGTTTTGATTTCTTCTCTTATGATTTTAATTATTTTCAATATACTTAATTTTTTTATCTTTTCAGATTATCACTACATTACCTAAATCTCTTGGGGCACTAATCCTTCTGCTTGTGTCTGCTAACTAGTTCATAATGTATTGTTTCACTGTGTGTTTCTTAATTTTGGATTGTGACCTTATCTTACAGTGGGGCATTATGTTCAGGAATCCAATGGGAGCTAGAGTTTAAGTGTTCTTCCAGTGCAGCTCTGTGACTGCTTCTGACAAAAATAAAAGTGATTTGTTTTTTTAACTTTCTAATCCTGTGGGTTCCCGGATAATATAGGTAGTACATAGACTCTAAACCTGTAGAATGTCCAGGTTGAAGGGCTTGATTATTCAGGAGAGATTTTTGTTTTCTGTTAGTGATGACTGACAGTTTTCATTCTTGTCTATCCTTTTACTGAAGATACAGACATCTGAAGTTCTTACTTTTAAGAAGAATCTCAGTTCAAACTCCCCACAGGGTGGGCCTGAGATCTCAATTCCAGTCTTCACATGGGAGTTACAAATCCAAATCAGTAGGTTATCAGAATGAATAGTGACCCACTAAAGACAGCCACAGGGTTTGTTCACAATTATTTCTTCTTTAATTTAAGGCTTTCCTCATCATTTCTGGCATCTGAGAATCTTTAAGTTGGATAGATTTTATCTGGCATTTCTTGTTATTTGTAACAAGAGAATTTTGTTTCTTTAATCAACTAATTTGGTAAAAGAAAGTGTTCCCTGTCTTTTTTAACCGTTTACTCCAAAATAGAAAAAAAAAACTATAAAACACAGGTATAAATTTTGCTACCTGTTTTTCTGGCCCTTTCCAACATTTCCAACAATAAATTCTGAAGCCTTATTACATATGCTACAGATGTGATCAACAACATCAGAGTCCTTCCCTTTTAATGATCTTTAGAGAAACAAAAATTAAAGAATTCAGTGCTTAGAGCTGAGTGGAATATATATGTAAAACAGACAAATAAGATTCAGAGGAAAAAGAGCCCTAAATTAGGAATCAGAGCTTTGAGATTCAAGTCCTACCCCTATGACTAAGTACCAGGTGACTTCAAAAATAAAAGGTTGTGCTCAACATTCTACGATTATGTTTCATTCACAAAGCTACACACATTAGATGTTCTTATTTATTTGCTTACTTGCCATTCAATCTAATATTGATAAGGAAGCTATCTGAATTTTTGGTCCACTTACTAAAATACTTTTCTAACATGGAAATAAATATGATTATTTGATACTAAATATAAATTTTCTATGTGTCTTTCCTTTATTAATACTGTAAATGGCATTAAGACATCCATTTATAAATTTTAAATGCAAATTGAAAACAAACCTCTCAACTAATTTGGCATTTATTAATACAGAATTCACAATGTACAACTTTATAAGGAATTAATCAGGAAAAAGCTGAACTATTTAGGGTACACTGTATGCTACAAAGAGGGCAGAAATCATTTCCAATCTAGTATAATGGTTTCTGTATACTTTCTTAAAGTTTACATTTAGTTCATTTGAATATGTACAAATAATTTCCTGTACATACATGTGTGTGATTCTTAGACTTCTTCACGATATTTTACTTATTAGAGAGAAAAGTAAACTTTTTCTCATGTTTTACCTTTTTTCTGGATCTTTTTGAAGGCACAATGAAATCATTTTTCTAAATGATTTTCCGTATTTTTTCAGCATTTCTTTATCTTGAACACCAGTTTCCAAAGAAGGAGGATCATTCTGCAGTGTCAGCATTAAGACCTGTAAGAATTTTCAGTATACTATAAACTTGTGATGACTCAGTAAAGTTTAACTATTGTGGCCAAGATTTTTCCATAATAGGCACCCCATACCAACATATAACATTTTATTTTCTATCTAAATCAACTGTTTAAAACCCAGAATTATTATGTGTATTTCACATAAATAATATGCTGTAGATGGTTAGCTTCTCAATACACACACACAACGGAATATTATTCAGCACTAAAAAGCAAGAAAATTCTGCAATATACTACAACATGGATGAACTTTGGGGACATTATGCTAAGTGAAATACTAGTCATGTAAAGATAAACATTGTGTGATTCCACTTATATGAGGTATTGGGAGTAGTCAAATCATAGAGACAAACAAGGGGCTGAGAAGAGTGGGAATCAAGAGTTACTATTTAATGGGAACGGAGTTCCAGTTTTCAAATGAAAAGAGTTTGGATATAGATGATAGTGATAACTGCACAACATTATGAATGCATTTAATACCACTGAACTATACACTCAAAATAGTTAAAGATGATGGTCAATTTTATGGTATGTGTATTTTGCCACACACACACACACACACACACACACACACACACACACAAAATTAAAAGACTGGCAAATGGTTCTGAAAAGGAATTGGGACCTGAGCTGGGGTAGTATTTGGAATATGAACCTCACCTTCATTGGTGGATATTTATGATAAGGAGCTGCCCCTGTGGCCAATTCAATTGCTGTAATTCCAAAACTCCAAATATCAGCTTTGAAATCATAACCTCGGACCTGCAAGAACAGATTTGCATGATTATTTTTTATCAGCATAAAAGGACTTTTAAAAGTTAGATTCTGAGGCCAGGCACAGTGGTTCATGCCTCTAATCCTAGCACTGTGAGAGGCTGAGGTGGGAGGATTAGGTGGGCTTGAAGCCAGGAGTTCAAGACCAGCCTGGGCAACATGGTGAGACCCCATCTCCACAAAAAAATATTTTTTAAATTAGCTAGGAGTGATGATGTACACCTGCAGTCCAGCTACATGGGAGGCTAGCTCGAGCCCAGGAGTTGAAGGCTGCAATGAGCCATGGTGGCACCACTGTACTCCGGAGTGAGTGAGAGAGCAAGATTGTCTCTAAAAATAAACAAACAAAAAAGCTAGCTTCTAATGTGTAACAAGAACAATGAAAGTGTTCATAAGCATTAAACCAGTAAAATAAAGTAGGCAAAAGCTAACTATATTTGGTAATAGAAAAAATAAAGACACAACCTGAATGTTCACCCACAGTGAAGAAACTGTTAAGTATAGTATATTTTAAAAAATTAGTCAGTTAAAAGTAATATTCATTAATACTATATGAACATATAAGAAACATTTGTGATAAAACATGAAGAAAAAAACAAAATTGCTCATGAGTCCTAAAACTTTTACAAACAGTAAAATACTGGAAAGAACGAAAACAAAATGTTTTGTAGTGGGGTAGCTTTTTTGTTTCCTAAGGAGCTACGTTATGGCACCTTAATTTCCACAATGAAAATGTTACAAAGATTGTGAATACTTTTAAACTTTTTAGAGTGAATATGTTGCCAAATTTCTCTACTTATACACTGTCACCAGCACATTATGTGGCTATAAATTTTAATTTTCTATCCTAAGCAATATAGGAGAAATAGGTTTGGGGAGTGTGTAGTCTGAAAGGCCTAAAAGTAAGGATCAATAGTATGTGCTGCCTTGTCCTCTGGTAAAACTGAAGGGCCTTTAGTGACCTAAGTACAAGTTCCCCTCCCCACTCTGCTCTCGCAGAGAATGTCTCCTAGCCCAACAATCCTCCTTAGCAAATGACCAGGTACAGTTCCTGCTTGGCCCTGAGAAGCAGGTTTCAGCTCCCTGTCAGTCAGTCATATCTTCTCAAGGAAACCAAGGACCATCACACTCTGTTGGCACTACAAACCCCGTCTCCAAAGCCCCTTCTCATTCATTCTGCCACTGAGTGCAACCCCACTGGTGCAGCATGGCATGCAGGGTCCTCCTCCCCAGGCTGTGAGTATATGTGACTAAGAGATGGCTGTCAATCTCATCTGTCCAATGTCAGGTGTTGTACATTCAGCCATTCCCATAACTTTACAGTGGGAATCCTTCCCTCACTAACAGGGTGAATGCAGGTGATTAAAACAGAGTAAAAATGAATTTAGTTCGTAGCACACTGAGTTTGATATACCTATAAGGCATTTATGTAAGGCACTTATTAAGAACTAGAAATATCTATATGGAGGTTTTGGGGAAAAACTGGACATAATTTAGAAATCATTAATAAGAAGCACAAATGGGAATACCTAGTGAGTGTCTGCAGTCAGAGAAGAGAAAAGCTCAGGAATAAGGTCGTGGGAAGCAGTGTCATTCAGGAGAATGAGAGCCAGCAAAGTCAGAGGAATGGCTTGACAAGGCAAGAATGAAGAAACAACATGAAGGAGGCTAGGAACGTGAATAAAGTTGGCATGGTCAACAGTTTCAAACATCACCAACAGGACAAGTAAGATAAGGAGTAAGAAATGAGCTCTGGATTTGAGTTAGTAGCAGAATTTCCTTAAAATGATGGGATGAGTGGCACCAGACTGCAACTGTTTGAAGAGGAAATGGGAAATGGAAACATAGACACAACCAGTCCTTCAAGAAACACAGCAGTAAATCTCGATGTAAAAATTAGTCTAATTTGTACGAATAAAATTAACACAAACCTTGATTATATTATTCCTGAGTTTCATATATCCTTTGCAAAGTCCTAGAGTGTTTTTGTTGTTTTGTTTTCAAGGGTGGACTAAAGTCCTAACCAAGAAACAGGGACATGTTTCCCAAAGCTAACCTGGTATGCCAAAGAAAAGCAAACACTTTAAGTTTTCTCAGTTTCATAACAAAGCCCTAACCCATTTAAAACAGAAAAAAAGACACAGTACCTGTTCCATAACTTCAGGTGCCATCCAACAAGGGGTGCCAACAAAGGTCTTTCTCACTTTATTTCGGGTAATATCACCACCAGTTGCTAAAAAAGCACTAACCCCAAAGTCTGAAACAGAATACAACAGCAAGGTTGTATGAAAGTGCATCAACCCTCATAAATAAATAGAAAAACAATAAAACGTAGTCACCATCCCATATATAAGATAAGAAGCATGATAGTTTCTCATCTTTTTGCTGAACTTCTTGGCTAAATTAAGACATAGCTTAGACTGGGAGCAGTGGCTCACGCCTATAATCCCAACACTCTTGGGAGGCCAAGACAGGAGGCTTGCTTGAGCCCAGGAGTTCATCTTCGCAAAAAAAAAAAAAAAAAAAAGACATAGTTTAGCAGGTGCCTCATTCCATTCCTCTCCACCCCCACATGTTATCATGTTCTCAGATTTTCCTCCTTGCTCTAATCCATTTTACATACCACTATTAGATTCATTCATTCATTCATTTTTTAATTATCACTTTGACATGGCCCTTTCAGCTCAGAAAATCCTATAGAATGAAATTCAACCTTTTTAACTTAGTATTCAAAGAGCTCTCAAGAACTTGGCCCCAAATAAATTAAAGTTCATAATTCTTAATACATATCCTAACTTCTTTCACCTCTTAGTAGATATATGACAATGTAAACTTAGTTCACTTCTCTAAGCCTCAGGATTTTCTCTACAAATATTTTATCCCACAATACTGAAGCCAAAGTACCAGTCACTGATAAGGAGGACTGCTTGTCTCATCAGGATCCCTCTTTTTCTGTAAATAGCCCTGGGTGTGTATCTGTACTCCCTCACCTTGACCCCTGGGCATACTTGATTTGAGCCAGGGTTAGACACCTTAATCCAAGGCAGGTCTATCTTAAATCTAGAAATGTAAAGCTTGAACGGACAGACAAAGAAACTAAGGGTCAATGAAGCTGAGCCATGCTAACAGCATCCTGAAGGTCACCAGCACAACTGGGTTCCTGCCCATTCTGAGGCTTAGCTGTTCAGTCTATTTTTTTATTCTGTGTACTTCCTAGTTTATTTCAATAATTCCTGCTTTGTTAAGTCAGCCGGTGATAATTTCCAATACAACCAAAAGAACTTTAATATAGTGAGGCTCTCATATACCTTATCCAACTTTTGTACACCTTTTCTGACTCCACTTCTGTGTCTGTTCGAGAACACTCTGCATTATGTAAAATGAGCCCATATTTGTCCATAATTTATTGTATTTTCAAATTTATTTGTTTTCATAATTTCTATTTTATACTTTTTTTTTCAATTTGAAAATACAATAAATTATGGACAAACTGATTGTGTGAAGGATAACTTTAGCATGGGAAACTTTAAAATTCCAGATTCAGAAGTCTATGAATTCTGCCACTTTCAAGCAATTTATTCGAAATAATTGCTTATCTATACAGTACAATTTAAAAATAACAAGTCTATACAGGTTTAAAAAACAATAATCTTGTCTAAATGTACTTAGAATTATGAAAAATTAAAAAAAAAAAAACAATAATCTTGGCTGGGCACAGTGGCTCATTCCTGTAATCCCAGTACTTTGGGAAGCTGAGGCAGGAGGAGCACTTGAGGCCAAAAGTTCAAGACCAGCCTGGGCAACAAACACAGTAAGTTGAGACCCCATGTCTATAAAAAATAAAAAATTAGCTGGGCATGGATGGTGGCGGGCACCTGTAGTCCTAGCTACTTGGGAGGCTGAGGCAGGAGGACTGCTTGAGCCTAAGAGTTGGAGGCTGCAGTGAGCTACATTCATCCCACTGCACTCTGACCTGGATGACAGAGCAAGACCCTTTCTCTACAATCATAACAGTTTTCAATGCTCCTAAACTGGCAAATTTCTAAGAGCTTTAAAATGTTGTTCCAATTGTAACAACAATAGTAAAGTAAACATTTTAAAGTGCACTTGAAAGGGGAAAAAGTGCATTCAGTGCATTCAGCTCTGCCACTAGTCTGCTGAACTTGGGCAGGTATTTTCAATCTTTGTGCTACAATTTCTTCATCTATAAAAAGGAGGCAATAACAGTACCTACTCAACAAGGTTGTTGTTGAAGATTAAATGAATTAATAATATACTTGGAATAGTCCCTGTAATATATTTTAACACTAAACACTCAATAAGTACTAGGTATTTTTATCACTAACTAGAAAGAAAGCTGTGCCTTAAAATACTTAAATATGCTAAAGACTCAAACACCTTATACACAACATATTTTTTAGGCTCAATTATAAAGAGTTTTTACTTTTTAAAAACCTACTAAAAACCTTCAAGTAGTTTAAAAATATTCAGAATTTTAAACGCAGAACTTAATAATGATCCAGAATTTTTGGATCTTCAGCTAGTATACCTCTGCTTGTTCACAGCTAGTGAACCCTGAAGATCAGTTAAAATATTTAGCTAAGGAATGTAAGTAAGACTATCCAGTACACCAAGATATTCTTGTTAAACAACCTGCACAGCTACAATGCCAAGGAAACATAATCAATCCAACTATAAAGTTAAGAACAGAAACCAAAGAGCAAAAATGCCATTTGCCTTTTGTTTTAAATTGCCAACTAAAGAGAAACAGTAACTTAAATGTGAAAAAAAATCACTTAGCTCCTTTGTTAATACAATTTCAGTTAAAGTACAAGATGGACTTTGGTACCTACTATGTGACAGGATCAACAGTAATGACCAGGCCAGCACGGTTGCTCACGCCTATAATCCCAGCACTTTGAGGCTGACACAGGCGGATCACCTGAGGTTGGGAGTTTGAGATCAGCCTGACCAACAGGGAGAAACCCCTTCTCTACTAAAAATACAAAATTAGCCGGGTGTAGTGGTGCATGCCCATAATCCCAGCTTCTCGGGAGGCTGGGGCAGAAGAACCCCCGAAGCGAAATTTGGCGGTGAGCTGAGATTGCACCACTGCAATCCAGCCTGGGCAACAAAAGAGAAACTCCATCTCAAAAAAAAAAAAAAAAGTAATCATCAAGGAAGACAAGGTCCCCTCAGCCTTTTGTGCAACTTCTAAATACAGAAGGTGGAATCAGGCAATTATAATATATTATAATTAGTGCTATCTATAATAAGGTGTGAAAAAATTAGAAACCCCTAAACTATAAAACTCTTAAAACATAGGAGAAAAGCTTCATGACACTGGAGTTAGCAATGATTTCTTAGACATAATACCAAATTCCAGGCAACAAAAAAAAAGTAGATAATCAAAATTTTAAAACTTTTGTGCATCAAAGGTCACTATCAACAGAATGAAAGGCAACCCACAGACTGGGAGAATATATTTTGCAAATCATACATCTGATAAGGGATTGACATCCAAAATATGTAAAGAACTCCTACAATTCAACAACAGCCACAAACACTCCAATTTAAAAATGGGCAAAGGAATTAAGTAGTCATTTCTCCAAAGAAGATATACAAATGGCCAATAAGTACATGAAAAGATGTTCAATATCACTAATCAATAGAGTAACACAAATCCAATCACAATGAGGTAGATACCACTTTACATCCCTTAGAATGGCTACCACCTGAAAAAAAAAAACCAAAAAAACCCCAGAAACTAACAAGTGTTGGTGAGGATGTGGAGAAATTCGATTCCTGTGTGCTCTTGGTGGGATTCCTGCACACTCTTGGTGGGGATGTAAAATGGCACAGCTGTCATGAAAAATAATACCTCAAAAACTTAAACATGGAATAGCCATATGATCCAGCAATTCTACTTATGGGTATATCCCAAAAGAAATGAAAGCAAGAAACTCAGACAAATATTTCCACACTCATGTTCATAGCAGCATTATTTACAATGGCCAAAGGTGGAAGCAATTCAAATGCCACTGATGAATGAATGGATAAACAAAATGCAGCATATAAATACAATGGAATTATTATACAGCTTTTGAAAGTACTGAAATTCTGACATATACTACAACATGAACCTTAAAGACATACAAAATGAAATAAAGTCAATCACAAAAGGACAAATACTGTAGGAGTTCACTTAGGTGCTTAAAGTAGTTAAAATTCATGGAAACAGAAAAGAGAATAGAATGGTGGTCACCCACAGCTGGGGTGAGAGATGGAATGAGGAATTACTATTTAGTGGGTACAGTTTCAGTCAAGTAAGATGAACTAGTTCTGAAGGCAGATGGTGGTGACAGCTGGACAACAGGAATGTATTTAATGCCATAGAAACTATACACTTAAAAATGGTTAAGATAGTCAATTTTATGTTATGTATATTTTACCACTACAAAAAATAAAAATAAAAGAGTGAGTCAGGAGGCAGTGTTGGCAAGATCTGGTGACAGACTGAACATGAGTAAAAGGGAGACAGAAAGCAAAGTTGTTCCCAAATTCTTGGTTTGTGCAGGTGGCTGGCTACGGTGCCATTCATACTAGATAAGGAAACCCATGTTCAGTCCATCTCCTATATATTTTTATGATTTATTAATTCTTTCATATGTAGCTATAGTTCTATCCATTTTCATCATTATATAGTATTCCAGTATAGGCTGGGCATGGTGGCTCATACCTGTAACGCCAGCACTTTGGAAGGGCAAGGTGGGTGGATCATGTGAAGCCAGGAGTTCAGGACCAGCCTGGCCAACATCAAGAAACCTTGTCTCTACTACAAATACGAAAATTAGTCGAGTGGGGTGGCACATGCCTGTAATCCCAGCTACTTAGGAGACTGAGGCACGAGAATCTCTTGAATCTGGAAGGCAGAGGGTGCAGTGAGCCAAGACTGCCCACACCACTGCACTCCGGCCTGGGCAACAGAGTGACACTCTGTGTCAAAAAAAAAAAGTATTCCAGTATATAAATTAACTACAATTTACTTATCCATTCACTAACAAAGGGCACTGGGATTACTTCAAACTTATAATGATTATGAGTACTGTGGCACACATACAGACGAGTTTCTCTAGGCTATACACTTAGGAGCCAAAGACTTACAGTATGTATATCTTCAACTGTAATAAAATGGTTGTACCAATTTACATTCCCATCATCAGAAATGAGATTTATTCCTTGCTTTACACCCACACCAACAATTAGTACTGTCAGGTGTTTTTGTCAGGCCAACCAATTTAACATGTTATCACAATGTGATTTTACTTTGCATTTAACAAATTACTAGTGTAAGGCTGAATATCTTTTACTACATTTATATTTGGATGTCTTCATTTGGGAAGTGACTATGCCAGTCTTCTGCCCACTTTTTAGAGCTTTTTGTTTTTCTCAATGAGTTCTTTATACACTCTACATTTGAGCCTTTAACAATTATTCATGCTGCAAATATCTTCTCTACTCTGTGGTTTGCCTTTTTACTCTGTTAATAGTAAAAAACCATTTGTTCCTCTTTTGATGAGTAGAAGTCACTCATTTTAAAGGTGTCAAATTTATCAATCTTTCCCTTTATATTAGAACTTTATGTGACTTGGTTAAAGTAGTTCCTTACCTCACGGATATGAAGATGTTCGCCTAAATTATCTTCTTAAAGATGAAGAAATAACTTAAGATTTGGGTGATTATCTTCCTCCTGCCAAACACCTGACTGTTCTAGCAGTCTGGGACCAAGCTGAGGTTTTTCTCAGATGATCTGCTTGCTAGACAATCCCTGGGTACGGTCGTTCTGGAGTCTCAGCCTGGAGGAGGGGGTGTTTCATCAGGATAGCCATTTCTGGCAGGCCCTGGGCTAAAACTCTTATCCCTTCAGCTCTGAAACTGCCAAAGGCACACCTCTACCAAAAGCACCTCAGGTGCTTTTTCCTAACTGACACTCAATTTCCCCCAGGACAGAAGCAGCTCTGTACAACCTCTATATAACATATTTATTCTTTAAATACAGTGAAGATCCTCAGCTATTTTTCCTTTAAAGGAAAGTACAGAATGCTATGAGAACACATAGCAGAAGACCCTCATGGAAGTAAGAAGTGATTAGTTGGAAGGAAACAAATAATGGTCAGAAAAAAAGTCTAAGAGCAGAAATGAAGGATGAGTATGAGAAGATATGTTGAGAAGTCGGTGGCATCCTATGATGTGCCCAGAGAGGACGCTTGAAGAGAGATGGTCCAGGGAATAGGAGAGAATACTGATTAAGAAAACATACAAGGTAAGTAATGTGGTTCTATGGACCATTAAATCAAATTTTAAAAATACTAATCATTACCTGCAATCTGTACTGAGCCATCTTCTCCAAGAAGAATGTTTCCAGCTTTCACATCTCTTAAAAAAAAAAAAAAAAGTTACATATCAAAAAACACCTATTCTTTGGAGTAACATAATTTAAGCAAGTGATTACTATATTCATGTAATACTAGCAATATTTAAATGTTCTACTTTACATTAAAGAATATTAAGAGCAATAGTAAAATTTTAGTCACTGGTACTAGGAATATAAACATTAAAAAGGAAGCTAGAAAGGTTCTTACTATAACATCTAGAAAATACAAGTGATTGAATATTCTTGATTGGGATAAAAGTGGCCAAAGAATGTGACCCTCACCTCATTCTACATTTTGAAATATATTTTTTCCTACACCCCAATGAGTTATCAAAGTTTTAAAATCATCCGTATGCAAGTGAAAACGGAATATTCTATGCCTGTTAACAAAAAGATGAAAATTACTCAGGCATCTCTATATTTTTAACTATTTATAACAAGTAATACATGAAAATATTCTTGTTTTAAAAACTTAAACACAACTTAAAAAGCCAAAATCCCTTTGACCATCATTCTCAAGTCTAGTAAGCACTCTCTCCAAAGTTTTCAACTATTATCAGTCTGGTTAATAGAATATATACCTATGACATAACTGGGCTTTTCTCCCAATGTAAATCGTATTATACTATCCATTCAAATCTACAACTTGGAGTTTTGTTTTTCTTAGCAAAAACAAATTTTTGGCAAAATTTAAAATCCCCAAATCCTAAGAGTAGCAAAACCATTTCTTGATAACCTAGAGAAATTCTCAGAATTTACAAGGAACGTACAAGGGGGTTCTGCTGCAGCACTGTTTGTAATAAAAAACAAAAACTAGTCACAACCAACAATAGTAGAAAGCTTAAATTAATTCTATTACATCCATGAAATGAATAATGTTAATCAACATACTGTGACATGAAATGCTAACATACATTATTAAATGAACAGATCAAATAAGAGACCAGTGCATTTTACATGACACCATTAATGTTGCACAAACACACCCCTTTCCTTTGCCAAATGGGATTTTTGGGACATTAATGGAATTGAAGTCTAGGGGAACAGTGTTTGAATGCCCTGTGGAAATATAGTCATTTTGTAATTAAAAGTAAATGTAATCAAATAAGCAAAAGAAAGGCAGCCCTTGAAGCTACACAAGAAAGAAAAGCAAGTCCAGCTCATGGAATAACGTCTTATTTATCATGAAAAGGAGCCAATGAAAAGCACAGCACTCCCCTTTATCCTCCATGTTTAGATATAATCATTCCCTGGCAAACAATGAACAAGGGTTCCATAACTGTGTGCAGCAGCAGCATCATACCACAGTATACAATGCCTTCCTGAATATATACTGAAGCATAAGAAAATCATGTTACTGAGTATTTTCCACTGCTTATAAGCCCAAGCAATTTATAGGTTGTTCTCCTGGAGACTGACTTAGAGTGCAAGCCAGCTTGCTTTACTCCATGAACCTAGTTTCAGATTCCAGTAGCTACAAACAGGAGAGAACAGAGGACATTCTCTTTCCTTTGTGACAAAGATCATCCAACTGAGTCAACCACTAACTTCCAACTCCCTTTTCTGAGCTCATCTAAAAGCTAAGTGGGGAGGGAAGAAAAAATAGTTTAGTCACTCCCTCCTCTGTGTCTTTACAGAAGGCTGTACTATAATGTTAGCATAATGTATTACATGATCATATTTCTAGGTCTGTCTCTCTTATTTCACCATAAGCTAAATCTGGGCCTGTAACTTAATATATTACTATAGTCACCTGTAGTTACTTAGCATTATGATCAGTACATAGGAGGCATTCTTCAAATAGGAGGAGATATTCTTCAAATAGATTTTAAATAACTATACAAATTTTTAACAACTATTACATAAGCACTGAGGAGACGACCTGCCTCAAATCCTCTTCTGGAAGAAAAAAAAAAAAAAAGAACATAAAAAAGAAAGAAAGAATGTCAACCAAACACTTAAAAAAAATACTAGACTGTTGCCTTCCTCTTCCCCAATCCCCACTCCCCACCTCCTAACTCTATTCCAAATGTCAGGGTTATAAACTAATACATTACAGTCAAAGAATAGGAACAATCTAATTATCCATCAAAAGGAGACCAGTTAAGCTGTGGTATATCTAAACCATAAAATACTATGAATACTAATGAACATACATGTCGATATGGAACTATCTCCAAATACATTATTAAGTGAAAAATGAATGCTAAACATAGTATGTGGCCATTTGTATTTTCTTTAAAAGGAAAACAAGACACAGAGACATACATCATGTTTATACTGGCAAAAAATCTCTCTCAAAGGACTCACAAGAAAATGGCAACAAGTAATTCCCTTTGGATCAGGGTACTGTGGATTCATAAACGGAAGAAGGCTTTATGTTTTAGAACAGTTTTAGATTTACATAAAAGTTGAGAAACTAGTGCCTAGGAGTTCCCACACACCTCACACTTAGTTTCCCCTATTATTAACATCTTATATTAATTAGTACAGTACTTTTGCTACAATAAATGAACCAATATTAATATATCATGATTAAAGTCCACAGTTTATTCAGATTTCTTTAGTTTTTACCTAATGTCCTTTTTCAGTCCCAGGATCCTGCCCAGGACACCATATTATATTTAGCTGCCATGTCTCCTTAGGTTCCTTTTGGTTGTGACAGTTTTTCACACTTTCTTTGTTTTTAGAGAATCTTGACAGTTTTGAGGAGTAATGGTCAAGTACTTTGTAGAATGCCCCTCTACTGGAATGTGTACAATGTTTTTCTCATGGTTAGACTGGTGTCAGGGCATTTTGTAAGGAAAACCATAAAAGGTATCATTTTCATCACATCATAAGAAAAGCACATCATATCAGTATAATTCAGCACTAGTGATACTTAGAAGGCTTACTTTGTACCATACGCCATTTGGTGTTATTTGAATTTTTAAAGCCATATATACATATCACCTACTCAAATCATGTTTTATTAAGTTTTAGTCTTTCATAAGTGAAGAGACAATAATCCATTTGTAGCAGAGCCTGTACTTCGAATGACTACTTTTCCTGATCAATTCCCCAGATAATCAATACATGTTTCCCTTTTGAAACCAAAAGTGCAATCTGTAGAATAGTTTCCAGGAGTAAAAGCAGAATAGCATGATTCACTGGACAATAAAAACACCACAGTCTGCCCTCAAACAGGACAACTAACTTTTAGGGAAAAGATTCATAACTAAATATCTGGAAATCAATATAGTCCCCAGTTAAAGAACTTTTTTACTCGGCCACAAAGAACATCAAGCAAGCCAGCAGCTCTAAAAGCTCAATCCTCCAACCTCTCTTAAGTAACAAGAAGAGTGAGTTTTTGTTTTTTTACGGCTTAATGCCATTTCTCACATGTCACTGTTGCCCCAAAGTTACACATTCCTTCTAAAATTAAAACAAATATCACAGACATTCTTGACTTTTCATTAATACAGAACACAAGTTTCTGCCCATAACATTTTTATTACTCATCAATAGGCACCATTTATGGAAAACTTGAAAAAGGGTCAAGAAAAGCAGTGAATCAAAACCAAACCTCTGTAAATACACTGTATTTAAGCATCTTAAACTAACAAAATGTCCAACATTTCTGTCACAGCCAGAGAAAAGTCTAATTTAGAGACCCATTCATCCTACTCCAAGCCTCTAAAGCCTAGAAGTCACAGAGAAAACACAGTAGACATAGAGGAAAATTACTTTACCTGATCTACTAGGCTGACATACAAATCCACCTGAAATCACAAGTGGACTTTGAAAATATGAGAAGTAGCAAGACATACTAAAAATATTTTCGCCTGCTTCCCAGTAAAACAACTTCCTCCTAAGCCTAAGTCTCAGCATATTACAGAGCTGGTTACTGCTAAAGTCTAAGTCCCAATGCTGGCTAGGCGCAGTGGCTCACACCTGTAATCCCAGCACTTTGGGAGGCCAAGCAGGTGATCACCTGAAATCGGGAGTTGGAGACCAGCCTTACCAACATGGAGAAACCCCCGTCTCTACTAAAAATACAAAATTAGCCAGGTGTGGTGGCACATGCCTGTAATCCCAGCTACTTGAGAGGCTGAGGCAGGAGAATCATTTGAACCTGGGAGGCGGAGGTTGTGGTGAGCCAAGATAAGATTGTACCACTGCACGCCAGCCTGGTCAACAAGAGCAAAACTTTGTCTCAAAAAAAAAAATCCCAATGCCAAGGCCTCACTCCAAATCAATTAAATAAATTTCTGGCAGTGGACCCAGGTATCCATACTTTTTAAAGCTTCCCATATTCCAATATGTAGCCAAAGTTGAAAGTCTATGATTTAAAGTGTCAGAGAATTCCCATTCCAGCAAAATGGCAAACTGTGCATTGGAAAACAAACTTTCATCACTACTACCCAGGCCCTTGACCCAAAACCCTTCCCCTGCTACAAACACAAAGAGATGCTGGATAAATTAGGGGAAAAAAATATCACACAGCTAGATGCAAAGTAAAGAAAAAATCCTCTAGGTTCAGAAATGAAAGAGACACTTAAGAGGCAGATCAGTAGGTAAGCCCTGGGAGACAGAACAGGGAAACTGGCCGAATGGCTAGGGGGCTCAGGTTTTCAAATCCAAACATAATAGAAAACATGGCACTGGACAGATATAAGGTTAGGAGCTAAAACTGAATCTCCCTAATAAAACCAAGACCCTTGAAAGACTAGGCCACAATGAAAGATATACTTACCAAAGGTAAGACAGTATAGTTATATTAAAATAAGATCTAATTATCTTTATAAAACATTTAAGACCTAATTACAATAAATAAGATCTAATTATCTTTAAAACAAAATCATTTCTAAGAGTAAAAAGGTCATTTTATAGGCATAAAAAGGTCAATTTACAGGAACAAAAGGAATAATTCACCCGGAAAATAACAATCCTGAACCTGTACGCACCTATAACCTCTATCACACTGTTCAAAGGAGTCATTAGGGTTGTAGGGGTTCCTGAG